TGTCCCGTACCCTGAGCCAGCCCTCAGCACTAGTTGCATTCTCGCCCTTTGTGAATCACCACAGTCCCCAGGGTCCCATCACCAGCCCCAGTGGCCTCTCTTTGGGTCGCCTGTCTCTCCCCTCCATGTCTGCATCAGACATAGCCAGACCCAAGGTCTCTAGCCTCCTGCTGCCCCCACAGCCCCTGTCCCCCTGCTCCTCTGTGGCCCTTCTGCTGAGTGTGTGCGTGGCTCCCGCCACCTGCGGACCCCTCATCCTGCGGGACCCTGCTTGGGCAGCCCCAGCTCTGAGGAGCCACTCCTGATGGCAGCTGAGTGGTCATGTCACCACGCTGAAGTGCTGGCCACCTGCCCCTATTCTCTGTCTCCTCTGTAGACTGTGGGCCCCTTGAGGGCAGGTTCAGGGACTGAGCACCACTGAATGGCTAGAGGGCACCTGGTGTGGGCTTCCGGACGCAAAGACGTTGCCCAGGGAGGGCTCGGGCCTGCCCAACCATCTTGGATTGATCGCGGGCGCCGTGGGAGCTCTGTCTTTAACTGGAGGCTTTCCTGGTGGGGATAGAAACCTGGGAAGACCAAGGTCATCTGACTGAGCTTCATCTGAGGGAAGGCCCCGCCAGGAAGCTGGAGTGAGACCTCGGCAGGGCAGGTGTGAACTCAAAGGTGTGGGGAAAGGAGGGTTGACCACAGAACACCAAGGGGCCCTGAGCTGTGTTCCTGACCCTCATCGGGGAAGCCCCTGGGGGTGGGCGTCTCCAGCCACAGCTGTAGCTGCCAGCATCCCCTGTCCCTCTCACCAGGATGAGGTCTGATTACTCTTCTAATTAGTCATCAAATGACAGCCGGGTCTCTGTCACACGTAATTGATCCCCCACTGACTAGTTTTAGAAAGAGCCATCAAAATAATCGTCCATGGAAACGTGTTCCTGAGACATCAAGCTTTGGGAACCCGAGCACTCCCTCCAACGCCTTTGGCCCCCATTAAATGTTTTCATAACTCTGGCTGGGCGAGGCCTGTCCGGCTCTTCTCCTGTTGTCAGGCTGAGGGTGATGTGTGCACACCATCAGCAAGACAGCACTCTGGTTCCACATTCTGAGGTGGGAACCTCACACTGTGGGCCTCACCTTGCTCATCTGGTGAATGGGGATGAGGATGGCAGGGGAGTCAGGGGTGCCTGTTCATTGTGAGTTTCCGATTCCAGAACACACTGATCTCTAAAAACTGGAGACAAGTTCTAAATTAGAGATTTTCTTTGACATTGTAAATCCCTCTGGGCAGAGAGGCAGAGCAGAGACTGTGGAGGAGAGACACATCGAGCCATCCTCAGTTACAAGATCACGGAACCTTCCAGCTCCTTTCCAGAACAGATGGGGACACTGAGACATGGGGAGGTGGAAGGACAGACCGAGTCTGCGATGGATTCTGGCGTCCAGCTTCCCTGCTCAGTTGGGAAGGAGGCCAGCACACTTCTAAACTGTCTTCTCTGAGGTGGGAGGAACTGGCAACCCCACCGTCAGAGGGAGACATTGTGTTCAGAAGAATCAGGCCAAGTCCTGCACGGTTCCCTCATGACAGGAGTGTCACTAAAGGCCACTGCAAATTTGTGACATCTCCTCTTCTGTTTATTCACACTGTTCATGGGGTTCTCAAGGCAAGAATGCTGAAGTGGTTTGCCATTCTCTTCTCCAGGATTGATTACAAATGGAGACAGGGAGACTTGCCAGTTTTTTCCTGTAGCAATTTTAGCTGTACCAGCCCTGAAAAAGCAAATGCATGCTTGCCCTTGGGTGATGCTATCACAGGTAAATGAGATGGAAGCCCAAGGCTCTAGAGCCTGACCACCCCACATTTCCCCACCCCCAAGTTCAGAGCCCCCCACGCCCCCAATGAAGCCTGGGTCCTCCAGGCCCCTGGATCCAGAGTGTGGCTGGGCCTTGGGTCACCACTGAATTCTGTCAGAAAATCTCTTCTTCTCATCGGGAGACTAGGGTTGGAGTGGGCCTGCCTCTGTTCTTTCCTCCCGGAAGCACAAAGTCCAAGAGTGGCATGGGGTAGGGAGGAAGGGTGGCTGAAAAGACCTCAGCTTGGTTTAGTTCTGTTTATTTTCCTTGAGGGCTGGGGACCCTGGAAAGGAGTGTGATTAATTCACCGATTCCCTGGGGGATGGGCAGTTTTCCCGGACTGTTCAGAAGCTGAAGTCAGGGAAGTGGCTTCCAAGGCAACTGCTACCATGGCAACAAGTGCCAGCCATGGGGGGGACCTTGCTTCTCACTGCTCCCCTCGGACCTCAGCAGCTGGAGCGGCTGGCATGGGACCAAGGCACTGCTGATCGCTGAGCTGGATCTCGCGAGGGGCAGTCAGCCAGGAGTGAAGAGGGGCCCTCAGAGCTCAGGCAGGTGGACCCTCGAAGGGAGAAAGACTCCAGCACTGTCCTTGACCCCCCATGGAGCTCAGACAGGAGTGCTCAGTGTCCTTGAGAATCAGGAAGGGCTGGGGCTGAGGCCTGCCAGCCTGGGTCTGGGGCATTCCCACCCTCTCCTAAGGGCAGCTAGCACATGAGCATAGAGCTGGGACACTGGCTGCCACAGTTCCAGGTTCCAGAGCCTCACTTAGCATGTCTGCCTTGGCCCAGCACAGCCAGGCACAGGGCCTGGTCCCCAGAAAGGGCAGGAGACTTCCCAAGGTCACCAGTGAAACAGTGACAAAGGAAAGACTAGAACCCAGGGCCCCTGGCCCCCAACCTGGCTCTTCCCCTGGCAAAACAGCTGCCCTTTGGGGACAGGGACCCTGGCTCAGAGGGACAGAGCAGACTGTCAGCAGGAGAATCCCACAAAGGGCCAGAGGTCAGCCCCATGTGGAAAACCTAGACCCACCTCTACCCACACAAGACGCTTACCTCATCTTCATCACTGGGGCCTAGTTGAGCAATTCTGGCCCAGGAGACAATAATAACTACAACTGTCACAGCTAACAGGCTTCCCTGGTGGCTCAGAGGTAAAGAATCTGCCTGCCAATGCAGGAGACGCGGCTTTAATCCCTGCATTGGGAAAATCCCCTGGAGAAGGAAATGGCAACCCACTCCAGCATCCCTGCCTGGGAAATCCATGGAGGGAGGATCCTGGTGGGCTACAGTCCATGAGGTTGCAAAAGAGTTGAGCACAACTTAGCGACTGAACAACAATCACAGCTAATATTTACTGAGCACTTACTATGTGTGCTTGGAACTGCTTTAAATACATTTATTAATTTGTAACTTCACAACAGCACCATGAGATAAACATTAGCTTCCCGTTTCTGGTTTAAGAAACTGAGACTCTTGGAGAATTAAGTAACGTGCCCAAGGCCAGTTAGTGAAACAGCTGGGATTTGAACCCAGACAGCACAGCTCTGGGCATCAGGCCTGTGGGAAAAATTCCACTTCTACCTTCCTACTTCTACTACTTCCTACTTCTACTACTTCCTACTTCTACCTTTTTTTTTTCTTTCTCTGCTTGGTTTTTCATGTTAAGTGCCATAAAATAGCACCTTAACTCATATGACTGCTGTGAGAATTAAATGAGATGTCTGTCAGATTCTCAGAAAGTACTTAGTTAAGTGCATGATAATGCCAGCAAAACCAAAGTAGGCACAGTGGTTGAGAGTGCAGAGCCATGGACAAGAGAGACCTTGCCAGGTGCACCCAGTGGGTAGGATGGGGGAATACTTGGTCCAGGAAGCTCCCGTAAGTCACACCCTGCTGGGCCAACCTGGAGGACTGACCAGGGTGGGGTTGGAGTCTAGACACAAGACTCACACCCTGGTTCCAAGTCCCCAGGGACAGGGAGACTTAGGGGCAAAAGACTCAGAGTCTGCAGGCCTATTTATCCAGCCCATCCCACATTGGGCAGATGAAGGGATGCAAGGATGGCAAGGGTTCCTGCAAGGAAATGACCATCATCAGAAAGTACATCCTCATCACCATGGAGGGTTCACAGTGCAGAACAGCTGGCAGCCTGGCCCATGACTCGCCCCCAAAGCGAAGAGCCCTGCACCCCGTCTCGGCTCTCTGCTCTCGCAGGGAGAAAAGCTGGCAGCAGAGCCCAGTCGACTGCCCTGACACTCGGACCTCCCTCTGCCACCTCCTTAGGAATTTCTTTTTTTGAAAATTTGTACCTTTAAATGTTTTTTAAAAAATTTTAAATCATTTATTTGGCTGGGTCAGGTTTTCATTGCATCATGCGGAGCTTTTACTGTGGCACATGGACTCGCTAGCTGTGGCACACGGTCAGGAGCACCTGGGCTCTGTAGTTGCAGCAGATAGGCTTAGTTGCTCTTCGGCATGTGGGATCTCAGTTCTCCGACTAGGGAGCAAATTCACAGCCCCTGCATTGCAAGGCAGATTCTCAACCACTGGACCGCCAGAGAAGTTCCTCCTTGGGAATTTCTAAAGGCCCTTCCCAAACAGCCCTCTGAGTCTGGTTCTGAGGATTACTAGGGCAACGGGCACGGAAGCCCTCTGCTTGACAAACATGTGGATGGAGGTGCTGTTTCTCTTGGTTGCCAACTCTGGGAGGACAAACAGTCCTGGGCACACAATGGAGCCTCGAGGAAGGCTCAGTGCTGCTTCAGACAGAGGGGACTCGGCTCTGCTTGGGTGGGTGGGCTGGGTTGGGGACAGGGTACACCTGTTGAAGTGCTCTTTGAGGTTAGCTTGCGTGAAGGCTGCTGACATGGCCTTTTCCACCTGATGGGAGATCCTAAAAGGCAGAGGCTGCTTCCTACTTCTCTCTGGGTCCTGGCACAGAGTAAGAGATTGACAGATGGTGGGTGAATTTCATTTCCTCACCTAAAAAAGAGAAGCAATGATCTCTCCTTCACCTTGTGTCATGGATCCGATGAAGTGCTGTATTTAGAGGTCTTGACAAGAGGCACCCCACCCCCTCGGCTAGACTCAGCCCTTCTCCAGAAGGCCTGTCTCCTCTTCAGGACAGCAGGTGAAGAAAGGACCACCAGGAAGACACCAGAATTGAAGACACTTTTATTAAAATAAGTGCAATGTGTCCTTGCACCCTATAAACATCTGACATATGCAAATTGATTTTCTTGGGTAACTAAGCAGCTCAGCTATCTGATGCTGGATATGCCTCTGTGCTCACCAGCATCGGAGACCACGTGGCTCCAACCAGGGTGGCTGGGCAGCCTCCAGACTCGCATCACATCAGGCACAGAGCTCCTCACTGCCCCAGACCTGCACTGCCCTCCGTAACAGGCCTGAGGGAGGAAGCAGCAGACACACTGGTCTCTAAGTCACTCATTGTCTGAACAGCTTAAAACCAGTTAAGAGTAACAGAAATAGCTGATTAACATCTTCCAAATGCATGGACATTCAGGAGAGAAGTGTGAACCCTAAGAGCTCTGGAAAGTCCATGGGCTCATAGGGGGAGTTAAAAGTCTCATCTCTGCTGGAAGAGTGTGGTTAAAAAAAAAGAAACAACCCCTCCCACCCCCCCGCATCTTTAAAAACAAAATAATACTGACTTTAGCAGCAATCTCAAACAAGGAAGAGGATGATAAATGAGGGACACATTTCGGTCACGGCAAAGAAAGATTATGTGCTTCTCTGCGCTATCGACTGGAAGACTGATCTGGCTTCCTGAATTGAGGGGATGGCTCCGCTTAGCCATGGGGGAGGACGTCCGGAGGACACAGGAAGGTGGAAGGACCGCCAGAGGCAGGTGACAGTGTGGGGAGAGGGAAGAGCCTCTGTCAATGGACGCTTCTCAAGGCTGGCTCCCTGAAGGCCGCAGCCCCAGCCCTACAGCTGCCTGGTGGTGAGAGTGGGCTGGATCCTCCATCCACGGGCAGGCGGGTGAGCAGGTGGGCAGGAGCCCAGTAAAGAGACGTCCCTGCCGCAGGCCATTATGCAAAGTGACAAGTGATTGCTTTCCTTTTCAAAGACGACCCTCCCCCGCCCTTTGGAAAAAGCTTTTTCCTTGAGGACTCTGGGGACAGGAGGATGAGAGCCTTCGTGGAGGAAAAGGCCTGGAAGGAGCTGCAGAGCAGGCCCCTCACAGGTTTCCAGGGTGGCAGGGCTTGGAAAAGGCCTGGGGCCCAGAGTGGGTCAGGGCGCTGGCGTTGTGGGTGTTGGGCTGGGCAGCGCATCTCCACTGCGACCTGCCTGGGCCAGCGCCCTCCGTCGGGCCAGGCGGGACTTGGAGGGAGGGGAGAGCTTCACAGAGCAGAGGCCCTCAGCCAGCGCCTCAGACTCCTCAGCCAGCTTGTTCTGCTCATTCTCCTCGTGCTGAGACAGCTGGCGGTTAAGGGCGATGGCCTCGGCTGCGAAGAGCGTCAGGTCCATTGTGCTGCTATTCCTGCAGGGATGAGGGAGGGGAGCACAGAAGAGAGGAAGGCAGGGTTCAGCAGGGTCCGCTGGCCAGCTCCCTGACACCCGCACCAGCTGCTGCGGTTCTGTGCTCCCACCGGACTTTTCCGAGCCGGCACAGGTTGCTCTCCCCATAGAGGTTCTTGCATGGGCTTTAGAATCTGACTCACTGGGGCTAGAAAGGCTTTGAGCCTCAAGGACAGTCTCTGGACTTAAGAGTTGGGACAAATGCTCCCTTCTATCCAGAGCCCCCTCTTCTGAGCTCTCAGGGCTCTGCACACACCTCCACCAGAGGAAGGGCCACGGCACATGAAACTCACCCACATACATCCCTCTCCGTCAGGATGGGGGGCTCTAAGAGCAGGGGCTGTGCCTTTACGTCTGAGTCCCAGAACCCAGCTCTGGGTTTGCTGAATCAGTATTCTAAGGTGGACCTGAGGTTTGGAGCCTCAAAGATTCTGGATGCAGCTCTACAGAGTCAGGGAGGAACCCAAGCTGGACTCAAATGATTTGTGATTATAAAGTGTAAGACTTCCCTGTTTAATTCTGGGAAACTGGCCAGGAGGTTGGCTCCCAGAGTCTTTAGCCCTGGCTCTTGAGGAATAGGGAGTGCTCACTGGGAACACGATCTGATGTTAAAAGGCACTAGAGTCAAACAGATCTGGTTCAAAGTCTCATTCCCTAGGCTACTGGGTATATGCATGTGTGCTCAGTCGTGTCTGACTCTTTGCAGCACTATGGACTGCACCCTTAAGTTACCTTCTATTCCTCAGGTTTCTCATCTATATAATGGAGCAATAGGAACATCCCTCTTTTAAATTTACTGTAAAGCTTATGGGATACTATACATGCAAAGCCCTTAGTACGAAATCTGGTGGGTGGTATTTCTTATACAGTGACTATTATTACTGTCTGTCTAGTAGTGTATATGACTCTTGGTCCCTCCACCTTTCAGGGCCCGGATTTCTGCTCCTTTTAGCAACCCCCTGCAGCAGAAGGGAACCTTGGTGTGCTTTGGGCTGTAAATAGTGATTTCCAGCTACGATTCATGAGGATCCACAAAACAGGTTTTTCTTCTGCAAACAGCCTAGAGAGGGATCTTAAAGATGCTGGGGCAGGGGAAACCAGGTGAAAGAAGAGAAGAGAGGGAGCAGATTTACTGTAGAGAGAGACAAGGAAGAGAAGCTGGGAGAGGGTGGCCAGACATCTGAGCTTAGAGATGGGCTCCACGTCCCCCACCTTGGCCCCAGCATGGCTGAGAGCTTGAAGGGAAAGTTAAAGCCAAATGAGGAAGGGAGGTGAGTGTGACAGGAGCATTTACCTCTGGAGGACTTGCGGCGTGGGGAGTCCCCTTTCTGGAGCTTGCTAGAACAGGAAGGACAGATGTGTGGGTAAGTGCTGCCCCCTCTTTCAAGAGCAGCCCCTACCCAAGCCAGCAGAGGGGGCAGCTTACTAGAGGTTCGGGCCCAGCACACCGACTTGCCAGGCATGCCGGCAGAGTCAGACCTTCCAAGGAGACAGCAAGCAAGGCACAGCACCCAACCCAGCTGCCTCTGCGTGGAGGGCCCACTCTCGCTCCCTGGTGAAGTCCTAATCACCCGCCGAGACCCCAGCTCCAGGGTTACGTCCCCGTGAGACATTCCCCTCGTCCTACTGCTCCCCAAGCCCTATCCCAAGCAGAGGTGGGTGCTCGTCCTGAGGTGCCGAGCACTTTAGATAAGCATTTGCCATCCTATCCTCATGTCCCCTTGGCTCCCTCTCCCCATCAGAACATGAAGACAGGACCCTGGTCCTGCTCCTCCCACTACTGCCAGAGCCTGTCATGCGGCAGATGCTCAGTATAGACAGAAGCTCTTGGGTGGCCGGGAATCAGCCACTTGGAGACCCATGGATTGGGTCCCCACTTGTAACTGGGGCTGGCAACCAGCCCCAGTGTCAAGGGCCTGGCAGATCAACGAAACAGTAAGATCACAGGAGGTGTGGAAGACCCCTTGGAGGGACAGGGTGTGCTATCTTGATTAACTGAGGAGGATGCTTAAAAATGTTTTCGAGTGAAAACTTGGATCCTTCCTTGGGGAAAACAGCAGCATGTGCCTTTCAGGAAAGCTGCAGCCAGACCCCAGCACCAGAAGTTATGAGCCCCCACCGCAGCTGCACAGCAAGCAGGGTGGCTGGGCCTTGCTTCTGCACACTCCCAGGTGGTAGCATTTCTGTGTAAGTGGTGGTGCTCCCATCCAGGCTGCTCCCTGGGCTGTGTGCCTCTGCCAAGAGTGGGAGGCATGCAGCGAATCTCCCAGAGGCCTCTGTCCATTCCAGAGACACATGGGTCACCTAGGGGCTTAGTTTGTGGCCAAGGTTAGATCCAAGTCAGTGATCTCTGTAAGGGGTCAGCATGGGGTGAGGTCAGAGGTCAGTCAGTTCTCTATGCACAGGGGATGAAGCTGCCATCTGACTTCCCTCAGCAGAGGTCAGCCACTTGGATGTGAGAGCTTCCTCATGGTTTTGCTGCAGGCCTGAAGAGGTAGATGCCCTCTCTCCCCCCTGGGTAACTCACCCCCTGCACCCATGGGTGCTGCAGAACTTGGGCAGCGCTCAGTCTCTGCTTCGCATCTCGGACCAGGAGCTTGGAGATGAGGTCTTTGGCCTCGCTGGAGATGTGAGCCCAGTCCTTGTCAGGAAACTCATACTTGCCTTTCTGGATGCTCTCAAACAGCTTGTTCTAGGTAAAGAAGATTCCTCCTGAGGCCACACCAGCCAGGGGATGGGCAGGGTGTGCCTGTCATGGTCTGATCACGTGGATCTAATTGCCCTCAGCTGCAGGTGCAGCTGGTGGACTGGGTATTTCCCAGACCAGGGCTCCTTCCCCAACCCCTACCCTCCCCTGAATTGTTACACTGCACAGAACACCCTGGGTGGGTGGGATGGCTATGCTACTTGGATGGTCAGGTAGGTGACCAGTGAGGAATGAGCAACTAGAGAATAATGCCCAATTCCTTAGCCCTCCATCCAGATGCCTGGGCTCATCTCCCCCCACCATCATCCTTATCCATCCTCCTTCTCCCTCGACATATGCCGCTGTTACAAACCTCCTGTCTTCATTCGTCCTGTTCCTTCTACTTGCATTTCATGCTTCTCCTCCCCTGGGGCCAGACTCCGCCTCTAAGACTCACTCAGCTCAGGAGAGATCTTCTCTAACAACCTCCCCTGAACTCCTCAATGGCTGAGGGCTTGATTACCTCCATCTTACCTGGTGGCTGCCCTTGGCCAGAGAGGGACAGGGCACGATCCACCCCCTTCCAGATCAGGCACAATCACCGAGCCCTGTCCTGCTCAGCCTCCCACAACACCTGACCCCGCAGCGGGCCCTGGGCTCACCTGGCACACTGTGCAGACCTCTCCCCGGTCCCAGCCACAGTCGGCCCCACAGTGACCCACAAAGGGCGGGTAGCCACTCAGCATGATGTAGAGGACCACGCCCAGGCTCCACAGGTCGCAGCGCTTGTCGTAAAAAGTGGCCTCGTCCGTGAAGACCTCCACCACCTCCGGGGCCATGTATTCTGCAGAGCCGCACTGTGGGGCCAGACATGGGAAAGGGGGAATGACAGAGAAGAGAAAGGCTCAGTCCAGGGAGAGGACTATAATGGGACTTGAGTGGGAGGATGGAGTTGCAGAGGAAGAAGCTGTCAGGAAAGTCAGCCAGAGAGCTTGCTAGGTGCCACCAAGGCACTTAGAAAAGCTGGGTCACTGGATATTTGTAACCTGAGTCCTAGCATTCTCCATGATTCACAGCCCAGTTAGTTCCAGGTCACCCCTCTGATCTTCTCAGGTCTTTCTGCAGTACGCAGAGACCCTTGGTCAAGAAGCTCCAGGCATCTCTCCTTGCCCTGGCTCTCTGCACACAGTCACACAGTGAGCAGGTACTTCCATGTCCCAGGAGCACAGCTCTCGGAGGACAGCCAATTCCACAAAGCAAGGATTTCGTAAAGTGAAGTCCTGCCAAGCCTCCCTGCTAGCTTTGAGCATGGAAGTAAAAGAATTTAGAATTAAGATACCATCAAAGCTAAGAGAGCTCTTAGAACAAAGCCAGTCTCCTCAGGTCTCCCATTTATGGAGGTGAAACCAAGGACTAGAATGGGAAGGGGGTTTTGTTTAAGCATATAAGTAGCAAACTAGGACAAGAAACCATGATTCCTTCCTCCCATCCTTGCATAGAAGGCTGCTGATAAAAACAAAATATATTCCTTTTACTCCCCTCTTCATTATTCCAGGCTCACTGGGAGACAACCCTCCTCCCAACTCCCACCCTACAAAACTAATTTGGTGGGAAGATGGCGAGTGCAGAAAGAACATTTTCTTTGTTATTGGCAATTAGAGTTAATGACTTTGAAAACAGGGTACCTCAGTGTGGTAGAAGCTAACACAGAAACATCTCTAATAATGTTGCTTAGTATGAGACACGGGCATATTTAATCGCAAGTCTTAAAAAAAGTTATTAGGAAAACTCACTTACGAAGCATGCAGATCTCAAAAGAATTATATAATAATTAAGAGCATAGCCAGTATGTATAAGAGATGTCTGAGGAAGAAATAGCTTCCAGCAGCCCATCTGGGCAGGAAATGGGAAGTGAGAGAAGCAACAGGATAACTTGGCCAGGCTTACGTGCAGAGTCTGGACCTCTCAGTTCTCATCACACCACAGAGACATTCCCCATCCTCACCACAAAGTGGACGTGCCCCAACTCTGCTGTGGGAATGGGAGCTATCCACACGCCCATGAGCAAAAGGGTGGGCCTGGGAGTAGTGCCTGTCACCTGGGACAGGGGTCAGGACTCAGCCAGTTCTTATAGATACAGCCTGTCTCCTCATTAGCAGTGGACCCACCCCAAACTAAAAGCTCCAGTGTCAGATTCATTGAGTAGGGGAGGGGTGGGGGGTTGGGGGTGGTTATCAAGACAAGAAGTGAGGCTAAACAACTCAGGTAGCAGTAGATACACTTGGTTTCCCTTCCTCAGCCCTCAGTCTCCAGAGCTTTGGTGACAGCAGCGCAGAAGGAGAGGGCACAGGTGCCCGGCCATACATACTGGAGTAGTCAGCTCTGGTGTGGTTATGGGGGTGCAGGAGTTGTTCAATTTCACTCCACTGCCCAAGTCAAAGTCACAGATCTTCACCGGAGACACCTGAAAAGGAAAGCAGGAAGCAAAGTTACAAAGAGGAGCAACTGAAGGGCACTGTGTGGGTACACAGTCATGTGGCCGCCACGCTGAAGCCCAGCTTTACCTGGTGGTCATTTTCCCCTCCTTGAGTGAACCAGAAATCACCTGAGGATCTGTCCTAAGGTGTCCTCTTCTCCGTGCTCTTTCCTTATTTCCTGACTAGGGGAAAATGTGTGTACTACCTGGGCTCAGACTGTTGTGAACTTGGTAGAAGACAAGGAGCAAACCTATGGATTTCCTACCAACAGGGCAGGTTGCAACTCAAAAGTTTAGAGAACTTAGTATGTATTCCCTAAGTATGAACTATCCTTTGTAGCTCATTCACTGCAGGGCAAAGGAGTTTGGCACAAAACCCCTGACCACTTCAGGTGGCTTGGGGTGACTGACCAGGTTTTGCTTGCTTGGGGCTTTGTCGGTTTAAGCACTGAAAGTTCTATGTTCCAGGAAAAATCCCTCAGGCTGGGAGGGCTGGTCATTCTGGGCAGCAGCAATGTAGCAGCCTGGCTCCCCTGGACTAGACACTGCACCTGAGACCGCAAACAGCACAGACCATCTCTGGAGCCACGTGGGAGGCCGCTGTGCACACAGGTGGTGTGAGAATGGTCTGCGAGGTGGAAGTCGCACAGTGAGTGAGTCAGAGTGCCGGTCCTCTCTATTTGCCTGCCGCACCTCCTACCTCTCTTTTCTCCCTCCCTTCCTTTGCTCTCCCTTATAGTCTACCTTTCCTCTTTTCCTTTTCACTTAGTTTCTCTTGTGGTTAAAATAGTGGGTTGGCTACGAAGTTCATTTGGGTTAAATGAATTTTGTGGCCAACCCAATATATATAACATAAATTTTAACTATTTTTAAGTTTACAATTCAGTAGCATTAATTATACTCATACTGTTGTGCAACCATTACCAGTGTCTTTCCACAACCGTCACATCACCTCAAACTGAAACTCTGTACCCATTAAGCAATAACTCATTCCCCTTCTCTCCAGCCCTAGTAACATTTAATCTACTTTCTGTCTCTATGAATTTGCCTATTCCAGATATTTCATTAAATGGAATCACAAAATTTGTCCTTTTGTGTCCAGATGGTTCATCCAAGTGGTAGCACGTGTCAGAATATCATTCTGTTCTATGGGTGAACAATATTCTAATTGTACAGATATACCACATTTTGTTCACCCATTCATCTGTTGGATTGTTTCCAGCTCTGGCTATTGTGATTAGTGCTGCTATGAACAATGGTGTTCAAGCCTCTGTTTTCAACCCTTTTGGGTATATACACAGGTGTGAAATTGCTGAATGTTATGGTAATGCTATGCTTAGCTTTTTGAGGAACTGGTGTTTTTCACAGTGGTTGAACCATTTTACACTCTCACCAGTAATGGGCAAGAGTTCCAATTTCCCTATATCCTCATCAGTATCAGGTAAGGCTTTATGGGGGTCCTTGCTGCAGCAAGGGGAGCAAAAACAAACAACAAATTCCCTTGTTTACTCGCCCCCAATGGCATGGTGAGCTTGTTCCTGAATGGGGTGAAGGTAGGGGTGTGTCCAGGAGTCAGGCAGGAGAGGTGGCTTAAGTGGTTTTGTTCAGCTCTTAGGTGGCATCTCATCAACACTTTTTATTTTCTGTTTTCTGTATTATAACCATTCTAGTAGATGTGAGGTGGTATCTCACTGTGGTTTTGATTTGCATTTCCCTGATGACTAAGGATGCTGACCATCTTTTCTTACTGGCCATTTGTATACCTTCTTGGAGAAATGTTTTTCAAGTTCTTTGCTCATTTTTTAATTACACTGTCTTTTTGATGTTGAGTTTTAGAAGTTCTTTACATATTTTGGATATTAAATCCTTATCAGATATGTGATCTGCAATATTTTCTTCCATTCGTGGGTTGTTTTTTCACTTTCTTGATGATGTCATTTGACCCTTAGTTCTCTTTTAATTTTCATTTGTCAACCATATAAAGGGGCAACAAACCTGTGTCATGAAGATCAAATGAAACAAAGGACACAAAAGTACACTGTAAATCAGAGGTGCTATGACAGAGTAGTTCAGAGCACCAGTCCAGGGTCAGACTACCTTAGTTTTAATCTCTCAAGGTGTTAGTTACTTAGTCATGTCTGACCCTTTGTGACCCCACGGACTGTAGCTCACTAGGCTCCTCTGTCCACTGAATTTTCCAGGCAAGAATATTGGAGTGGGTTGCCATTCCCTTCTCCAAGTTTTAATCTCTGCTACTTATCAACTGAGTGACTTTGGGCAATTTCTTAATCTATCTAAACTTCTGTTTCCTCATCTCCATAAAATGAAAATAATAGCATCCACCTCATGAGATTTTATAAAAATTAGATAAAATAAGTGTAAGTGCCTGGTACAATGTAAGTGCTCAAAAAATGTTAAAACATAATTATTAATATTAACCATAATGATAATCATGATAAATTATAGTTTTATGCCAGAGCCATGGACAGGAAGCCACAAGCTCTTATTTGAGTGAATATATTTCTGTTTCCCACAAAAGCATTGTAGTAGCAGGCTGATTCACACGTTCCCTCACACTCACTCCTTATTTATGAGCTCTCGCCTAATCCAAACCAAGACAGGTGTATCATGCATATGTACATGTATACACACAGAGCTAGGAATGTGGGCCATCAGAATAACCTATGCCTAAACCCTCCTAACAAATAATCTGTCAAATTCACATATGCTTATGGAAATGCAAACAGATTTATTTCCATTTACTAATGGATTAAGATAAAGATTAAAATAGGCTGCATTTGGGGACTTCCTTGCTGGTCCAGTGGTTAAGAATCTGCCTGCAAATGAACATGGTATCAATCCCTGGTCCACAAACTAAGATCCCATGTGCAATGGGGCAACTAAGCCCACGCTCAGCACTACCAAGCCCAGGAGCCACAACGAAGACCCAGCGCAGCCAGAAACAGATAAATCAATCCAACGGCTTAAAACATAGGCTGCATTTGTTCAACACCAAGTATAAATGCCTTCTTTTTAATGTGTACCTTTGGAAATAAAAATGGAAGCACAAACCCTTTTTAAGAACTTGCTTCCTAACTATAGCTTGTAGTGGTAGACAATATTAGGCACACATACTGTAACATAAACATCATTCACAAGCAGAGATTTGCTTGATGTAAGATCGAACTGTTGTTTGACTCACATCTACTGCTCTAAAAGTAGGTGCACTGGACTAGAAAACAATCACTGTGTGCAGGTCTCATATATTTTACAAACTCTCAGGTTTACGACAATCTGCTCATAAAGAACACAGAAGGGCCCAGGACTAGCCCTGTCTGGGATGTAGAAACACTACACATTAGGATAACACTCTTACGTGTCTGTAACAGTCAGTTCAATTGGGGCTGAGAGAGCCGCTGATGATTTACACTGAAAGTAAGGACGGCTTCCCTGCGTCTGTGTCAACTGTGACACCCCAAATCAGGCCCCAGGTACCTTTTCTGGAGATTCACACAGTATATTTTCTGGCTTCAGATCGCGATGAGCAATGCCTGAAATGACAAAGAACAAAGAAATGGTTAACATATACACACAATTATCAAACATTCCACACACAATTAATTTTTTCCAAATGCTGTTGTTCGCAGATTAATTCCCAATTATGGTACATTAAAAAATCAACGAGCTACAGGAGGCAGAAGTAACCAGAGACACAAACAGAAAGCACAGTTGATTCTGCAAGTTCTTCTGAAGCAGAAGCTTTAGAAGTCTGGCAGGGATAAGAAGGGCTAAATGAATCCCAGCCAGCCCACCTCTCAGCACTGCACTGCCAACCCAGAGTAAGCAGCCTAATACTAACCAGAGCAAAGAGCCCTCCAAACAGCCCTGCTTGGAACAGAAATGAAGAAATAATTAGTGTCTTGTTTAAGAGCATCTCAGGGGGCTGCAACTGCTTTACCTCATTTCTTCTTGTGTGGCCAACTTAAAAAAAAAAAAAGATTCCTTCAGTAGGACTCCCTGAATGTTCAGAGGATTGAGTTAGTTAACAAATCTCCCAAAGTTTGTCTCCCTTCTCACTTGCTCTGCATGTATAAGACAGTCCTATCAGAAGGTCAGCAAGGACTACTTTGGCCCAAGGGTGCTGTTCTTAAGAACCTCCCCTGTATTTTGGGCTTCCCTGGTGGCTCAGTGGAAAGAATCCGCCTGCCAATGCAGCAGACGTGGGTTCAATCCCTGGATCGGGAAGATTCCCCCTGGAGAAGGAAAAACTCGTTCCAGTATTCCTGCCTGAATAAGACCACGGACAGAGGAGCCTAGTGGGCTAGTCCATGGGGTCAAAAAGGAGTAGGACACAACTTAGAGACTAAACAACAACAATCCCTGCATTTTGGTCAGACCTCCTTGAGGGAGACTGCAGATAGCAGCTTACCCCATGAGACATTAAAAGCTGCTGACTTGGCCAATAAGACATCTGGGGGTAAACCATCTTTTAACCAAAAACACTGACAAAGACTCATGGCCATGGTGTTCTAGTGGTGGACACAGAAACCTCCCATTCCTTTTTCCTCCTGCAGAGTGTGGTGCAGAGATAGAAAGGCTGTAAAATAGAGTAAAAGTCCAACAGCTACTGCTTGGAAGTACTGGGAAGCAGCAGAGGATTCATGGAATAATGGAGAACAGCAGACTCCGCTTCACTATACCTCCCTTGCTGATCACTCTGCCGGCAGCCCTCTGGCTCACCGGCAGGAGGCAGAGGCCCAGCCCACCAGACGCTCTTCACTAGGGAGGAAGAACCTGAGCTCCAGCACGCTAAGTAACTTCATCAGTCACCTAATTGAATGAGAACCCAGAGCAACTCAGTCCAGGCTGCACAAATTGAGCCAGGCTGCAGCTTGCTGCACTAAAAGTGAAAGATATTTTCCATTACAGCAAGTGCTCCCACAGAAGGATCACAAGCCACACATGGAGCCTTACTCTCCAAATAGATGCCCATGGCCCCGTCGTCCCCTGGCCTGAGAACTAAGAGTCAGCCATAATAACAGGCCTGCCTCGGTGAGCACACCGGCCATCGAGCTGCTTCAGTTCATTTCCCAGAGGTTGAGCTGCACTGTGTCCAGTATTTAAAAGCATGGAACTTGTTTCAGGCTGACCCATTCTAGCCCAATTCATCTTTCAGGTGTGAAGTTATTTAGAAAACAGCCAAGTTCAGCTGCAAATCGTTTTTCATCCCCTCCAACTTCTAGTCACATGGGCAGCTGGCCATCTAGATGTTAACCAGCTCACTTCAGAATTCCTAAGACACCACCAGCTTCTGGTCCCTGTAGTGCATTCTGGTGAAAATAAATAAATAAATAAGAAATAAAACCACCTTTACCCCCCTCCAAAGTATGGATCTTGTAAAAAGCGTGACCCAGTTTTGCAATCTACCGAGGCTGCTTGGGGAACAGTTGTAAATCTCTGTCAGGCAGGTGTTACGTACATGCATCCCAGCTTTCAGAAACAGAACTACAGCTATTCATCATGCTGTGCAAAGTACAGACGCCCCCTTCTAGGAATTTTCATCCCATGTGCAAGTCAGGCCCCCAGCGTGGGCATAGAGCAGTTTCCTCAGGCTCTGGAGGAAGCGAGGTGGATTGGTGAGCCTCCCCTCCTGCACACGCCTCAACAGCTGCACTGTATTGCTGGCACAAAGCAGGATGCAGGAGCATCATGCCTGCAAGTGGACCTGAGTGCTCCTGACCAGTGAGGCTGGCCAATGTCACAGAAGTGAAAGAAGCGGAACTAAACCTCAAAGTATGTGCTCCACTCCCACCCCAAGAAGGCAGGACATTTTTCTTTAAGGGAATTAGTGTAAGGAGTAAAAATGCTGCCTGCCTGGTTGGGGTGGAGGGTAGAGGAAATATTTTTGAAGAACTACTAAGTGCCAGGCACTGTGCTCCACTATTACATGTGTACAACACACACACAATTATGTAAGTGAATTGATACATATAAAAGACATAGGACAGTGCCTGGCACATAACAAGTGCTACATAAAGTGTTAGCTACTGTCAGTGACGTCATTATGACCTCTCTTAACTCTCACCACAACTCTAGGAGGGAGCCAATGGTACTGGGAAAGCACATAGCTAGCAAAAAAAGGTGAAGACAGAATTCATTTTTGCCATGGTACTGCTGTTAGGCAAATTTTAAAATGTATGTGATAGTAAACATATTTCCAGAAATGTGAAAACATATAATGTGCAAAAATATTTAATTGACTACAGAAGTTCTAGATAAGGAACCATACACTGAAGTGTAATTCAAACAATAGTAGCCTGCTACTTACCATCACAATCAATGTTCAACAGATACCTCCAACTTACCATGTTAATAGAAAAATGCATTTCCCATTTATTGTGAACAAGATATAAACTACACATATACTACCATGCCAATTTTGAAAAGAGAGATACAGGTGATATATTTTAAAACACTAGACTGAATAATACCCAAATATTCATCCTAGAATCTAGTTTATATTATGCATGATTTTTGTATTCTTCATTAGTAAAGGAAAAAATCACTCACATACATACACTCAGACATCCCTTGTTCAACATGAAATCTATTTTTCCCCTCCTTGCTCCTTTTCCTGTATCCCTAGTCTGCTTAATAGTTCCACAACCACCTGCCATCCATATCAGAAGTATAGGAGCCACCCTGGCCTGGCCCCTCACCATCCTGGGTGTGCCTGCTAGCTGCACCAGCTCCCAGCCTTCTACCTGGTCTGTCCCTCTCCCTTGTCCCTCAGAGGCGACCAGCCAAACCCACCCACTAAGGCCAAGGCCTGGCTCACCCTTGGTGTGCAGGAAGTCAAGGGCGGCAGCGACATCCTGTACCACTCGGCTGGCTTCTCGCTCATTGAAGTGCTTCTGCTTCTGGATGTGGGCCAAGATGGAGCCTGAAGAGCAGAAGGGGCAAAGAGGATTGTCTTTTCAGGCTCTAGTAAGAGTAGTAACTTCTCAGAGGCCAAGTTTTCAAAAGTTTCAGGTGGGGACACAGGCTTACTCATCACTGAATGTCCAGCACCAGTGTGGTATCTGGCACAGACCAGGTACCAGCAAAAAACTGGACTGAAAAGAACTGGGCAGCTATCTTCTGCACCTGTCTATGATGAGTGCAGAAGGGCAGATGTGGGGGTAGATCTGGCTTCTGAAATTGAAAGGAACTAAAAGTGACTCCACCTGGGGCTGGGGGCCTCTCTAGAGGAACTTTTCCTCCCTTGCATCTGAGCTCAGGTCCAAACAAGAGCACAGGCCTTCAGGTGGAAATGCCACACCTCTACTGGTTGTGTAAAGGTCTAGAAAAAGGGAAAAAACTGCTTTCTCTCCTGAAATTTCCCATTTATCATTATTATTATTATTGCTGTTATTTTGTTGGCAATGGCTAATATTTATTGAGTAGTTGCTCTGTACCAAGCACTATGTGGTATTTAAAAAATAGGTTATCTTATCCTCACTGCAACTGGACGTAATGTACAAAACAGGGTAATCCTCACTAACCTGAAGCCAAGAAAGGTTAAGCAACTTGTTCCAGATCACGTATCAGTAAATGGAGGCGTCATCAGCAATCGAGCCCAGTAAGTCTGGCCCCGGAGCCTGTGCAGACCTCTCCTCAGCAGGACTTGTGATTTGACTGCTTTGGGGGATAGGATTCTCTGAGTCAACCAAACACTCTTTTTTACCCACTGAGTCTGGCCTCAGCAGAGTGACATGGCTACAGATAAACCTGGCTGCATCAGTCATCTCAGAACAGGTAATTCACAGTGCTAGTGTTGCTGGGTGAAGCGGGGCACACACAGGCGTGAGCATATGGCTTGGTTCCATGTGGTCTGTGCTCACCACTGGAAGCCAGAATTTCTGGCCTGAAGGTGCCATCTCTGTGCCCCACAAATGGCACATGTTTACTTATTACCTCTGGCTTTTGACATGGGAAGAGGATGAAAGATCTTTCACTTGCCAGAGTAAACAAAGGATCCCAATACACTGTGGAACATTCTGAGAAAACTGGCTCTAGGTTAATTCTTGGGCTTGCTCAAGTCTTGTTTCCAAATTTGTTAAAAGGGAAGGTGAAGAGTACATGTCTGCAATAGCCCCCAGTACACCCAATTGTTTTAATAATATTAACAGCTGACATTTATTAAACCTTTAGTGCTCACTGGGCACTGAGCTAAGCATATCACATGAATTATCTCATTTAATCTTGACAGTGTTCCAAAGAGGTAGGAGCTGTCATTTCCCCTATTTACAGATTACAGAGAGTACCATTTGGAAAGGTTAGATGACTTGCTCAAGGTCACACAGCTAGTAAGAGATGGAGCTCCCTTAACCACCTAGCCCCTCCCTGTGTAGAACTCCACTTGGCTCCAGACATCCTCCTTAACCTTCACCTTGCAAATGTGACCTAGGGATGGGCGAGTGATAGGGAGGGAAGGGGCTTCTCTATGTCAGAAAGGCAACTTAAATATATATTCCAGCGGTCATGTGTGTGGGTGATGGCAGAAGCAGTGGTGGTCAAGAATGGCATCTTTTCACCTGCAGGACGGCACTTCTCAGGCCTCCTTTCTATTCTGGTCTGTGTCCTAAACAATGCGTCCCTCCTCTTCTCTGGTGAGCCTTTTTGGACTTCTCAGTGTATGTAAGAGCTACTGCCCCACAATTAATTCCATTAAATAGTGAATATGTCAAAACAATGGATTGATAAATCAATGATGAAATATATCTATATATGAGCCCTATTATAATGAGAAGGCATTTATAGAGTGCACACACCAATGACATTCTAAGTCCTGCAAAATGCTAATTATCATCCTTCCCTCCGGCCTTCCTTCTCCCAAATCAAGGGCAGTTTTAAGTCCTTCATCCTTTTTATTAGTTTGACTCATTTTAGAAGTCTCTGGGATTCATGATGGATGATCACTACCCTGGGTCTTAATCAGAAGTCCGAACACACGCTCAACAGTTAAGTACCTCCTTGCAATTTCTCAAAGACCAAGTAAAACCTTGTGTCGTCTTCAAAGAACTCAATCAGCTCCAAAATGTGCCTTAAATAGGGGAAAATAGGAGGAAAAGAAAAAAGGGAAAATGGTGTTATATATTGAAGCTCACTTATAAATAGACAAAAAAAACCCCAGATACTCTGTAACGGGCAGAAATCAACTTGAAATCAGAATGCTTATTAAAGACCCAGGTTTAAGAAGTAGCCAACGGTGTTAGCAAGATTCAGGTCACCTTATCTTTCCATAATGTTCAGTCTCTGGTGTTTTCACCAAGTCTGTGCTGTCAAACCCCAACCCTAAAACCCACTAGGTAGAGTTATAAAAAAAGTCCCGGTCACATTAAACTGAATAAAATCTGCAGCCGACTGGAAGCAATTGCGGCTAATAACACTGAATAGTAGGTATGTGTCCTGGAGGCAAGCAGCAAATAATTACTTGCCCTCCCTCTTGCCCATAAATCACGGGGCAGTATTTACATTGCCTGGAGAAAATGGAAACATCTGTCAAATAGACTTGGGGCCTAACGTGGGCACCGCTAGACCCTAACTGCTAAGCGCTACTTAATGAAACGGCCGCATTCCCTGCTACCATAGCACTTGTGGCCTTCCCCGGTGAGCACTCTCTGTCTGCCTGAGCATTACTGTGTTCTGCCAACAAGGTCGTCTTGTAACTCAGTAGGGAAGCCACCAGCCTGGATATCAGAGGTGTTGGGGGCTTTTTTTCTTTTAAAGAATGAAATAAACCAAGTAGAGTCTGTAATGCTGAACTCAGAAGCTGCAGGGCTGAAAATAAAAATCTGTCTCTCATAAAAAAATGCTGACCACTTTGGGACAGACATTGGGCTTTTACTAGCAAAAAGGCGTCTGAATAAGATGGCCAAAATGGCCTAATTTGAAAGAAGATTGTAGAAGCAGTGCCTGGAGTTAAATCAACAGCAGCCCCCTTCTTCCAAGCTTAATGACAAAGCCATCAATACTGGCCACTGGCTCCCTGCTGACCCTGCCATGACAGGAGAGAGCGGGAAGCGGAGTCTTAGAGGTAACCCTGATTTAAAGCCACAGTGGGAGAGCCACTCATTCGGAGTTGGTGGTAAGCAGAATAAGATGGGGCTAGAGACCACCTTGGCCCAGTTATCAAGCAAAGAGTGTTAAACAAGGTTTCAGGACCCTTAGTGGTGGCTGAAAGTCAAAGTTGCTCAGTTGTGTCCAACTCTTTGCAACCCCATGGACTCTATAGTCCATGGAATTCTCTAGGCCAGAATACTGGAGTGGGTAACCTTTTCCTTCTCTAGGGGACCTTCCCAACCCAGGGATTGAACCCACATCTCCTGCATTGCAGGTGGATTCTTTGCCAGCTGAACAACAAGGAAAGCCCAAGAATACTGGAGTGGGTAGCCTACCCCTTCTCCAGAGGATCTTCCCGACCCAGGAACTGAACCAGGGTCTCCTGCATTGTAGGTGGATTCTTTACCAACTGAGCTATGAGGGAAGCCCAAGTAGTAGCTGCACATATGTAAATATGCCAGAAACAGAAAACAGCACAAATAGTCTCCATAGTATCATCATCCTCATCTATTTACTAAAGCAGGTCCCTATAGATTTCTACTAGGCAACACTCAACCTACTTTCTACAGGTGCTTGCAAGAGATAAAGCCTATTTTTTTCCAAGCAGCCACTGATTCAGATTGCTTGCTCTTCTAACTTGTCTAAATTCCTGGTATGTACAGTATTTCAGCCTACACAGAAGACAGCTTCTTTGCTGCTGCTGCTTCTCTCTATCTCTCTCTTTTAAAAATTGTAAGATGGAAGGAGTTATATACAGTTGTGGGGAAGGAGCAAGAGCTAACTGCTGGGGTCGTGAGATAGTGAGAAATAACTTCCTTTTCTGTAGCCAACCATCCCCCACTCCCAGAGAATCAGCAAGTCACCCAACACTATACTCACTTGTTTCCTTGACACTGATATAGTGTCTCCACCTCCCGAAATACCCTACTCCGACTGTGTCCTGCGTGTTTTTCGATGATCTGTGTGAAAAATAAAACCTGTCATATACACCCACCTGGTCAAAACACTCCCAACAGGTGCCCTCTGGCAGACTGCAAGGCCAATTCAGCCGAAATCCCGTGTCAAGCACAAGTCTGGAGTAGGCCATGGCGACGCAGGTGCTGTGCTTCTGTCAGCAAAGCAACAGACTGGCCCCAGGACCTTCTAGCCCACCTGTTTGACTCTGACCAAGTACATCGCCATTGAAGCCTGTGAGGGTGCTACTCCAGCAGCCCAGGGGAGACTGAGGCAGCCAGCAAGACAAAGAACCAGCTCTACCAAGCTCCTACTGAAGGCATCTCTCTCTGCCTTAAGGCTAAGAACTTACACACTCTACTGAAGGATCTTCTAGTGCTGGAGGAAGAGCAAGGGGATAAGGGATACAGTGAGGAGGCAATCAAGCTCCAAGGCCCAGCTCAGATGCCGCTTCTGCAATTCTTCTGAGAACTTACCCTTTGGCAGGGACTATATGAAGTCATTTAGGTACATAATCTCAGTTAATCCTTACAACACAATCCTGAAAGAACAGGCAGAGGTAAAGCATTTTGCTCACAGCTCTGCTAAGTGGCAGGGCTGCTATTCAAGCCCAGAGCTGCTTCTAAAGCCCTCACTGTCCAATATCCACTTATATCCTACACAACTTTGCTCAGAGAACCTGGAGGCTCTGTCTCTCCAATGATGCTGTGAGCTGCTCCCCCTCCCCACCTATACCTGGAGATGCTTGGAAAGTATTGACTGAAGGAATGGGCCAGCCAACAGATGAGCAGGTGGGTTATGTGGGGACTGGGTGACTCTGCACATCTCTACAGACCCATCCAGAGCCCCAAACCACTGCAGGTAGAGCCTGCCAGGAAGTCCTCTGCAGAGCTGGCACTGCCTGACAGTCCCATGTGTGGGGTGGGCAGACACCTGGGTCCTTCATCCCAAGACTGTCACCAAAGACACTTCAAACGTCTCCAACATGTAGCAGCACACACATCTACAACCAAGTGTAATTTTCTAAACAAGTCCAAGTTGGTTAGTAGACCACTGGATTCCCTTTCTGAGCTGGCAGAGAGGCGTGGTTCTGGGGCACAGAAGCTATTCAGCTTGTTCGTTCATCAAGCAGATCAAAGTTAGGAAGAAATTCCCAGCAGGCAACTATCCTGCATAGTTGGATGGCATGATTTTCTCTGAGGAGGCAAAGAGCTCTTGCTACCAGAGATCATAGGGGTGTGCAAAACATGGAAAACTATGAGGAGTTACAAGGGAGGCTCAGGTCCAGATTACCTTGAAATTCCATTCCAAGAGTAAGACTCTAGGATTCATCAGTTGGATGGCTGTTGTGCAAAGCCCTAATAAAATCAAGTATAGTGGAGCCAGGCTGGAGAAGTAGCCCACATCTGGGGCACTTTCAAAGAACAGGAGAGACGTGAGACATGGGCAGCATTGGTCCTTTATTGGACCGGAATCTGGTGGTCCAGAGTCGACGATGAGAGAGTGAAAGAAGGAAAGAGTCTAATATTCCCTGGGTTACGCAGCCAGATTTCGCAGTCCAGGGAATCAGCCAGAAATATATATACATACATATATATGTATGTATACATATATATATAGAGAGAGAGAGAAAGAAAGAAAGAACGAAAGACACGGGGACCCAAGCTCTGATGGAGCAAAGGTGTTTTAATCAACATGGTGTGGACATATATACTGTCTTACAAGGTAGTTATTCTCAGCAAAGATAAAGATTAAAATTCCAGACTTACGAAACATAAGGCGATCCCTATTAAAGAGAGAGAGTTGTAAACAATCACTTTTTACTGTATGGTTCATAAGAAGGAAGAGGGTACTTATCACCAAATTGAAAAACTAACAAAGGAAATGCCTGGATTCCTCAGCCCTGGGAAAGGCTTGCCTCTCCTCTTATTCCGGAATATTCAGGAATTAATAAGGACCAGAGGATTCCTGACAGATCCAAAACAGCACACAGGAAGCCTCCTGCTAAATGCTTCCTGACAGGGCAGCATTGCTGAAACCGAAGCATTGCCACGCCCAGGTCTGGTATTTGCCCAAAGATGCCAGGGAGCATGGAGGAAGGGCAGCCTTGAAGAAGTAGTTCTGTCATCCACAAATGTATTAAATATTTGACAATCCATTTACATTTACCCACTTAGGCATATTTTTTTTTAATTACTTGGAATTTATACTGATCTGTTTAGAACAAGGAATCAAGATAATGCTTTTGCTATCACATGAAGCAACACTCCAGCAAAAAGGGCTGTGGCTTAGCAAAAGTGTTCTCCTTTATAAATCCATCTGGGACTATGACCATTTGGTTAAAAGGAGAAACATCTTTCAGAAGCCAGTTTGGCTGGGTTTACCCATTTGAAGCAGCAATGAGACCTGCTGGCTCAGGTAGATGTCTTGAAAACTTTGGTGGGTACCAGAATAACCTGGAGGGTTCAAATTAACATTGCTGGGGCCTGCCCCGAGTTTCTGATTCAGCAGGTCTAGGATAGAGTCAGATAATTTGTGTCTCTAACAAGTTCCCAGATCATCAAGTTGTGCTGATGCTAATAATGTGGGGACCACACTTTGAGAACCACTGCTTTAGATCCAACCCTTCTTTCATGTAGTGTCAGCAAACAGAAGAGCAGAGGGGCAAGGTAAGCCACTCTGAGGTCATGTAGATGGAAAATACTTCTGCCTCAAAGCTGAGCACTTAGTCCTTGTCAACACACTGCTGTACATCACTTGTGCAGGTAGGTATTATCTTCCTTCTAGAAATGTGAGAACTGACACTCAAAAAGGTTCAGTGACTTGTCCCAAGTCAAACAGTAGTAATTTGTCAAAAAAGAGATTCAGATAGGCCTTCTAATTCCAAATCTGACTGTTTTCTGAAGCTGACTTCATTCACCAGAGGCACTGCCCTAAGCACTTTACACATATTAACTTATTTAAACCTCACAACAATACCACATAGGTTCTATTATTACACTCATTATACAGATGAAGAAACTGAAGGACAGAAAGGTTAAGTAACTTGTCCAATGTTACACAGAAAGTAAGCAGAGAAATCACCGAATTTAGTGAATACAGCTTTGGAGTTCCCATTCTTATTAAGCCACTATGCTGTGAAATGTAAAATGTATCTGGTTTAGGACAAGCTGGGATTCACTATCTGCAAAGTAAAGCCTGGCATCTAGATGAGACACTCACTTTGACAGCATACTCGTTGCCATTCTGCAGGCTCACGGCAACTTGAACTTTGGCATTGGCTCCCTCTCCCAGCAGTTCAGAGGTCAGCTTGTATACATCTAGAGGTGAAATGGAGGAGAAGCATAACAAGATGAGTCACCCCTTTGCAGAGAAGGAATGAAGAGCCATGTCACTTGGCTTCCCCAGTCTGACAGCACAGGTGCTCAAGGACCTGGCAGTGCTCATTGATGAGAAAGGCCACTAATGCTCCTGACTGCCTTGGAACTCAGCTTCATGACAAGCAGGTCTCATCGCAGGATCTTTCTCCTGAGATGAGGTCAGTGAAAGGGGTTCAATTCAGCACATGCTTCCCAAGCACCTACTGTGTGCCAGACAACTTGTCAGACTCACAACAGGGACACAGTGAGGAATAAAATATAGTCCCTGGCCTTTGAGAGTCACAGTCTGCTGGGGAACACAGACAGGTTTGTACACAAGTGACCCCAGAATAAACCAGAGAGGGACAAAACACAGTAAAAAAAAAAAAAAGAGCAGGGGAAGGGAAAGGTTAAATCTGCTCAGTGGATCTGGGGGATCCTCACAGAAGGGATGTGATCTGAATGGACATCATTAATTCACTCACTCATTTGTTGAGCACCTACTACATGACCAGTTCTGTACTAGGAACTGGTGATACAAAGGGGAATAAAGCACTGTTTTATTTTATGCCACACATAGTGGAAGTCACTGGAGATTTCTGAGAAGTTTCCAGCAGTTGCCCACAGGAAACAGGAGAGAGAAGTAAGATGCAAACGGATGCCTCGAGGTTTTTAGAGTGCTGAGTCAGAGCGATTCTAACACAGCAATAGCCCTGGGTCGAAAGTATATTTAGGTGATCTCCCAGGCTCACAAAGAGCATAAGCTCTCTGAACACCTTCCAAAGGAAGCCACAGCTCCATCAAGGCCTCTGCTGAGCTGACCTCTTCCTCCCTTGGCTACTAGTCTTCAGCTTTTTCCTTTAAAGGTAGCCTAGTGTTAAAACCCGCAGAATACTGTTAACCATGAAATTAGATTTTATCACTTAGTTATGAGAAACTCCATAATTGCACAAGTCATCTGTGAATAACAGGAAATACTCTCTTGTTCATTGAAAGAGAAAGACCTGTTGATTTGGAAACTGTTCTAAAACCCTTGGGACTTTTGTTCATTCCCCACCCTCACCCCCTCTGCTATACACACACATCTGTTGTTAAACACAAACAGACAGAACCTTACACTAGGAACCTTCTTGGTTCCATCACTGTTTGGTCTTACAGCTGTTCATATTTTAAACGACGTGCTTCTCTCACAATGGATACTTGGATAGTAGCCTCTGCACATGTCAGGACAGATTGGTGGCTGGAAGTCCAATATTCCTGACTTATAAAGGGTTTGTTTTAGGATCACTCTACAAAACAATCAATTCACTAGTATGTCTGCAGTGCTGGAAAGAGGGACCCTTCAGGGAAGCTATTTCAAGTCTCACAATGAAAGAAACAAAAGTAGATGCTGGGGGTCACTCCGTCCCCTGAACACAACATGCACTCTTCGAATGGAGTCAGAATCATCCAGCACAAAGAGCTGCAATCTCTAGGAGCTGAATTCTCTACTGATAGAAGGTTTAAGTTTCTTTCTTTTTTTTTGTCTGGCCATGCCACATGGCTTGCAAAATCTTAGTTCCCCAACTAGGGACGGAACCCAGGCCATAGTAATGAAAGCGTGGAGTCCTAACCACTGGACTACCAGGGAACTACCTAGAAGATTTACATTTCATTTGTAGCCACGGCCTTTGGTGTTTCATCTTCCTCTGCCATGGTTGTTCTACCTCTCAGCAGCTCCTCCAAGACTAGCTGAGGGAAAGATCACAGCTGAAAAATACCAGGCAATCTTGCTCCATATGCAACTATGACAGGCTGCCTTTCTGTTCCCTGATGAAGCGCTCAGACCATTCAGAGGAGGCCTGTGCATCATCTTGGAGCTTTTCCCATCCTGGTGCTCTCTCTCTGTCACCCCCTTTCTATAAACCATCTCATCTTCGCCTTTTTTAAAAAAATTTTCTCAGCTTAAAACTGTCTTAGTCAGCTAGAGCTGCCATATCAAGATACCACCGACTGGGAGGCTTAAACCATAGAAATGTATTTTCGCACAGTTCTGGAGGCCACAAGTCCAAGACTCAAGGGGCTGTCAGATTCGGTGTCTATGATGCTTACAGATGCCGCCTTCTTGCTGTGTCCTCATGTGGCTTTTTCTCTATGCTCATGTCTCTCACTCCTATCTTTCATGCCTATCACATGGAAAAACATGAAGCTGGCTCTAAGATCTATACTCAGGGCTACCAGGATGCTGGCATGCTTGGGAAGTCACCGATCCAGTTCTAAGAGATCAAAGAGAGTGACCAACCTTCAAACTTTCCCGGCAAGGAATCAGTGGCCCGGGCCTTCCGCTTCTTCTTCTTCCTCTTGTCACTCTCTGCAATGGGAACTGGTTCACTGCTACCCATCTCTGGGAGAAGAGAGGAGATGGAAGGGAAGTATCACTGGACTGATCAAGCTATAAGTTCACCCAGAAGAAAGAGGAGGGGGGAGACCCAGGAGCTTTACACTCGTGGCTTTTAAATATCTATGAGGACTATTGATCTGTTTTGACCCAGGAGGCAAAATTAAAGGTGAACCATTATAGGAGATCATTAACTGTGGAAAGGAACTCAGACTGATGGGCTAGATTAAAAGAGGATAGCAGAAGCCTGCTGTAACCAAGCTCATTAGCACATGGATTTAGATGTGCCCCCAAACTGAGCAATGAATCCATAGCAGAATCCTACCTGTGACATCTTCCAGCCTCAGCACCAGAAAGGTAGGAGCCAGGGAGCTAAGCAGAAAGGGAGATGGGTTTGGGAGGGCAGTCCATACAAATGAAGTGACATGCTCAGTAACGTCCCTGTGGGTGTGCAAAGGATTCAAAAGGCCCTCAGTGGAGACTGCTTCCGTGAAGGTACAACAGGGCAGGAGTTCGGTTTGAGGGTGGCCCTAAATTCCTTCATGTCCAAGAGCATAGACTTGAGAGTCTGTGAGGCCCGGGGCACACTCTCCCTCCTCAGCTTCTTATTTGAGAGAATGCAGGTAGGGTCCATTTAGAAGTCTGCTGTTGACAGGTCTATGCTAAGTTGCTGGATTCAGTCATTTTACAAAAACATTATTATCTCTCCCTAGAAGGCACCTGGCTCTCATCTTAAAGGGAGGATTTGTGAGGCAGACATTTAGACATTGGACAGGAAAGGGTAGGGTCAGAGAAAATAAAGCAGGAGACTGAGAGGGGGAAAGAGAAAAGGAGGAATAATGAACCAGTGGCCAATCATAGTCCTGTTTCTAAGACACTTTAGTAAGGGCCTTCCCCTGTTAAAGATAAATTACTTATAGAACATGTCATGCCCTTGATCCAGAGTGGAGCCTTAATACTCTTTGCCTGCAGTTAAAAATAATAAGATTTCTCTGAAGTCTCTGGGTCTAAATCCCCACCAGGGTGATTAAACCTTTACATCCTTCTAAAATAGAGGTGCTTGAGTGCTGATGGGGTATACAATGTGAAAGACTTTTAGACCAGCCTTCAGTAAACACAGGCTTGGGTTGCTGGATTTCTTTTTTTTTCCCCTGAGATTTTGAAATGGAAGCTGGCTCTTTGCCCACTGAGGGGAAAGGCCCACTCTCTTCTCAGAGGACCCCAGCTGAACATGATCAGAAAAACGGCAAGTCTGCTCAGGAAGATTGATTAGAGCCTAAGTATAGCTACTGTACACTGTTCTCAGAAGCAAGTATGCGACAGCCATTAGGAGAAAGCACATAGAACAATGGCACGTTTCAATAGCACAATCCAGAAAAACCTGGTTAAGCAGCCAAGTGTCTAACAGCTCAATGGAAGTGCATTCTTCCTTCCATTTTTAGGATCTGATGACAGCAGACTTTCATTTACATTTTAGAGTACAGATAAACACGTGAAGAAAAGGAATCCACAGAGAATCTCAAACTACTACTCTAGCTGACAGCTTCAAGCACAGATGTATCTGGGGATTGCAACATGCTATGAATCCAAAGAAATGAACTTAAATATTAGCACCCCAAGATCCACCCTCCCAAAGGGAAACTAAAAGTAAAAGAGCTGCCCAACAGAGTGAAAATTCTACAGAAATAAGACACAGGGTCACTTATCTTCAGGCCCCCAGGAAGGGGGCACTGGCCAATGGGACAGCCAGGCTGAGGAGGGACCACTGCCCCTCTTGCCCTGCCCTTGTGTGCAGTCTGGTGGCAAGCTCCCTCCCACCCCGCCCCACATCTATTTTCTCACTAGCACTGTGAGCCAAGTGCAGAGTGGACAGATCTGGGATTCACTTCTCTTTTTCCTTACCCTGTCCACACTCTGAAGGAGGGCTGAAGGACAAGCAAAACAGCCCAAAGGCAGCAATGGAGAGGTGCAGCAAGAAAGCTGGCGGTGTTATGGTTCACGGGGGATGCTCAGACATACTTATGACTCTAGCTAGAAAACCCTGTTAGCCGCGATTTATACTTGGTTTTCACCACAGCAGGGCTGAGGGAGCCTCTCGTGGAAGAAGCATACCTCTGAGCACTGCCACACATGTGATATTAGATTTTATGGCTTCGCACACAAAAAGATAGAGTACCTGGTCTATTCTGCATGGATTCCAATGGAAGAGGGTATGCCAGAAGGGACAGATGGTTAAGACTTTCCTTGGAAACAGAACTTGTTGAAGGAGAGTTGTTTTTGAAACTAGGAAGAAAAAAATGTAGGAAGGCAGTGAAGTGAAAAAACATTTTTAACTTCCCTGTTTACAGTGGGGAGTGGGTGGGGCAGGAAGTGGGATGGAGATGTATCATCATCTTACCAAAGGGCTAAAAGCTCTTTACCTGGAGCCTGTCCATACACTCTCTTGGGACCTTAGTTTATTATGTGTGTAATCATTTGATAAAGGCTTCCGCAGGGTGAGAGACTCCACAATCAAGCTGGTCCTTGGCTCACCTCCTTCCCTTGGCCTAAGAACTCCTCTCAGCCATCAAAGCCCAGTTCAAAAGTCTCCCCTCTCTTATAGTAAGTTAAGGTTTTCACAAATACTTTGGAAATATTTGCAAATAGATGGTGCTACTGTATAGAACTCAAATAGGGTCCCCCATCTACTGCTTCCAAACACCCTGCTAGCAGCTAATACTAGAGCACTGGTTCTATTTGGCCTTGAGCTCTCTCCAACGTCCTAAAGCCCAGGGCTGTCTTTACCTGCTCACCCCTGTGTCTTCTAAGTAAATCATGGTGCAGTGTCAGATGTATACCTGGCATCAGAAAATGTATACTGAAATAAAAATGATATGAGAGGACACACATCCTTGGGCTTAGGTGCAGGCCTGTCACCAGGCCCTCTAAGTACCAAGTGCACACACTGAAAGAAATATAGGGACACCTTTACCCTGCAGGCAGCACAGAGTAAGGCTTCACTCACTGAATCCCTGAAACACTCCCTCTCAATAAAGCCCCCAACTGAAAGGTCCTTAACTTTCTAGCAAGAAGCCTTGTCTCTGCTATAGGATCAGATGATGTGCCTGCTGTTTCAGAGAGAGTGAGCACTTCCTTCACGTCCGAAGACAGACCTCAGCTAGCACTTCACTGCCTCCAGCCCTTGCTTTTCTCCTGGGCAAGGCTTAGGGGTCCACTACTTGTGAATCAGTGGAGGTGGAGCTGGTGAGGATGCACACCGCTGACAGGAGAGGCGTGTGGGCTTGGCGTCGGGAGACCCAGTGACGGTTCAGTTCAGGTATTACCAGATGTACCACCAAGACCAAGTTACTTTGCCTCTTAAAAGTATCAGTTTCCTCATCTACAGATTAGGTTTAAAAATAATACCTGCCCTTTCCATCAATGCTGTGAAGACCCAGTGTTTAACATAATATAAAAGTGTTTCAAAAAATGTGTATGCTTAACTCTGTATGCACAAACACAGAGGAGAAAGACTAGACAGAAATACATAAAAATGTATTACAATCTGAAAGAGTGTTGATTATGCACCAAACATAGGTATTTTACAAACATTATCTCTAATTCTCACAAAATCACCAAAGGTAAGTACTTCGCCATATTTCAAGTGAGGAAACTGAGGTTAAATTATCAGAGGTTAAACTATCTGTGTGTGTTAGTTGCTCAGTTGTGTCTGACTCTTTGCGACTCTATAAGCCTGCCAGGGTTCTCGGTCCATGGGATTCTCCAGGCAAGAATACTGGAGTGGGTTGCCATTCCCTTCTCCAGGGGGTCTTCTCAACCCAGGGTTTGAACCCAGGTCTCCTGCCTTGTGGGCAGATTCTTTACCATCTGAGCCATGAGGGAAGCTAAATTATCTACTGAATGCCAAACATCTAGTTAGTTGTTTAACTGGAATTCAAACTCAATGCTGCCCTTTCAAGTCCAGGTTATGTCTGGTCTACAGTAGTTTTCTCTGTGTGATGGGGAGATTTTCTTTATATTTTTCAGTATCCTCCAAATGGTATACAATGATGTTTACTACTTTATTTAGTGCTATTATTGTTTCAGTCAAGTTTTTATTTTTCAACAAAATATACAATCATATTTCTCTAATGTACATTTGAATTTAGTCTTTACAGTTTTACAAATTATATCTAGATTTCTTTATATCAAAATTCAACATTCAGTTCAGTTCAGTTCAGTTGCTCAGTCGTGTCTGACTCTTTGAGACCCCATGAATCGCAGCACGCCAGGCCTCCCTGTCCATCACGAACTCCCGGAGTTTACTCAAACTCATGCCCATCAAGTCGGTGATGCCATCCAGGCATCTCATCCTCTGTGGTCCCCTTCTCCTCCTGCCCCCAATCTCTCCCAGCATCAGGGTCAACTGTTTGCATGAGGTGGCCAAAGTACTGGAGTTTCAGCTTCAGTATCAGTCCTTCCAATGAACACCCAGGACTGATCTCCTTCAGGATGGATGGGTTGGATCTCCTTGTAGTCCAAGGGACTCTCAAGAGTCTTCTCCAACACCACAGTTCAAAAGCATCAATTTTTCAGTGCTCAGCTTTCTTCACAGTCCAACTCTCACATCCATAC